TTCAGAAGCACAAAGCTGCTGTTTCTTTGGGGTTTTTTTGGGTTTTTTGTGTTGTTTTTTTTTAAGTGATTCTTTCTCTTTCGGTGGAACTTCACAACTGATTTACTCTGGGTTTAGTCTGAGCATACCAATAACGACTACTGTAGTACAGCTCAAGGAAAATAGGATGCTGCAGCATTTTTTTTCTGGATACTGTCATTAGACATAACTAAAACCTAAGCATTTCATCAATGCTTATAAACACCTTAAGGGTGGGTGTAAAGGGGATGGGGCCAGATCCTTTTCAGTGGTGCTCAGCAACAGGTTAAGGGGCAACGGGCATAAACTGAAACTCAGGAAGTTCCAGCTGAACATGAAGAACAACTTCTGTACTTTGAGGGTGGAAGAGCCCTGGCACAGGCTGCCCGGAGAGGTTGTGGAGTCGTCTCCTCTGGAGATATTCAAAACCCTCCTGGACGCGATCCTGTGCAACTGCTGTAGGTGACCCTGCTTTGGCAGGGGGGTTAGACCAGATGATCTCCGGAGGGCCTTTCCAACCCTGACCATTCTGTGATTCTGTGAAAAAATCACTCAAAACTCTAACATCTTCAGAAGCAAGTACTACCTACTCCTTCACAAAGTAGAATATGCCTCTGAATATGGAATACAGCAAAGTTTCTTAAACAGATTTTCCTTCACCGAAGGGTAACCTCTGTATTCAAAACCCCTGCAAATCTGGCTTATTCCCCATCTCATATCTTAGAGAAACAGCCTCAGCTGCTTACAGCACGCTCCGTTTCTGAGCAAGTCTGCAGGGACTGTCAGCTTTTCATTGACAAAAAACAAGTCAATGTTTCTCAGATCTTGCTCAAAGTTGCTCTTTTTTCTCCAACTGGTCCATAAAAGCCTAAAATATCCCACTCTGGATAGAACCAACCTTTTTCAATTTGTTTTTAACTCCTTTGAAGCTGCATGTCTAAGGCTGCCTTATCTGCAGCATTGTTTTGCCTTTCCTACTCAGTACTTCCAACATCCTCTTAAAAGCCTCTTTGGGTTTAACTTCATCTTCTTACAAACAGCAATGAAGAATTCAAGAAGGAAACCAAATAGCATAAGATCCATAAAAAATACAAACATTTTCCCAGTTTGTGTTATAGTAGTACTAGTTGGCAAGGTTATCCAGGACTTCATTTTTCTCCTTACTGCAGCAACTGCAGACTGCTGAAAAAAACGTGACTAAATACACATGGCTGACAAGGATGGTTGTTTTCACCAGATGTCTGTCCCCTTCAGAAACTAAGTCAGGACGGTGAAAACATTCTCAGCTTGTCTATGGCTTCAGGCCCAAAACGTAGTGGAAAGTACTATACTACAGCTACAGGGCTGGAGGGATTGAAAAGGAAGTACAGAGGCAATACAGGGGAACACCATGTTCCTTGAATAATTACCACTCACACCAGAGAGAGAGAGCTTCCAAACCACAGTTGTGACAAAAAGGCAAAGCACTATGAGGAAGCTGGTACTGATACTGTCAAAGCTAAGTAAGGGACTGCACTTGCCAGTATAAACCACATGTCATCAAATTAAAAGAAGACACACACACAGAGTACAAGTCTGCATGTGCACATGTGTATGCATGTGCAGATGTTCTCTATAAAATTGTGTGTGCACCCACTCAAAACACACATACTTTTGAACACAGAGAGAAATGAGATTACCAGGAAGAGATGACATGAAGATCAAAGGAGGTCTTTGGAGTGATGCTGAGGCCAGTTTGTTCTCCGTAATGTAAACTGCAGAATCTGCTTTCTCAGTTGGTGCACTGGACACAGAGGGCCTGCAAAAAGACATACTGCATAGCATTAGGCCCAGGACAGTAATTGCAGTCTGTCTTCAGAGGGTATGCTCAAAACTTGCTTGTGTTGCTAGCCTCCAAGAGGCAAAAGCTTATCACAGCTGCAGAAGTGAACTCAGACACTGAAGTGAGGTGACAGCTACGTCAAGGGGAGCCTTGTAATCATAGCAGCCAATATTAAAAACTCTTTGAGCAGTAAACCCTGGAGAGAAAGGAAGTATTTCTCAAGCCAGAGTCACCATAAACCTAAGCAGTAAGCAAATCACTGTGTTCTTCCTGAGCTAAGTCACTAGATGGTATTCTAGCTTCCTTGTTCTTCCTCCACATAACCCTTAAATTTTACATGTCAGGGCTTCAGATTCATTTACACTGAGTGTACTAGTAATCAGTTTGATAGCAACTGTAATTTTTTCTTGCTTTTTTGTTTTTTCCAGAGAGTAATCAAAAGAGTAATCATTTTACATTACTCTGACTCATTGCTATGGAAGAGAACATGCAACAGGATACAGGAAGACTACTGCTGCAACAAGAAACCCTTCTAGTTGCATGCCCTTTGAATTTTCTCATGAACAAGCTCTCCCTTCTCTTTGTTGGAACAATGGCCTTGTTCTTCTCTGCCAAGGAACCCGCATTAAAATTCTATTAAAAAAATTTATCCCTCTCCTGTAATAAAACCAATTTTGCTACTGCATGTTGCAGAAATATCTATCCCTCACTTACCTCTCCTCAAGCAGTACTGTACGTGCTAAGTGAGCCCTGAAAATGGACTGGATGAATGTCAGTGTCTCATCTTTCTCCTTGCAATCAGAAGACAAGCTCAAGGAGTTTGACATGGAAGACATGCAGGAGTTCTGCAAAGCAATCAGATTAAAGAAAACTGACCTTTTACAGATTGCACAGAAGCTTGACAGAAGCTTTCACAATCTTACTCCTGATTGTGAAAGTAACAAATATTCCCATCTTTTGGTCTGCAGTCTTTAAGGTTCTATAAGACTAAATTAGCAGGAAATGCAAGCTTGATCATCATACAAGCTTTGAGGAATCTGTATTCAATTAGCAAAAGAGTAGACACCTGGAAGGAAAGTTCATTTATTTTCCAGGAAGGCAACCTTCATGATGGATATATCTTCTGCTTGTATCAAGCAAAACCATTCAGTCTTACTACATTGGGCCAGTTTACTGAAATAAAAGTGAATGTAAAGTGCAACCAGATGGACAGCCTGGATAGAGAATTACAAATTAACTTTAGCCTGCTAAAGGTCCAAAGGATGTTCATATAAGTTGGCAAATGATTTACAGAAACTAAATGTTTAATTGGTAAGGAAATTTTTTTCATATTCAGAACTGAGCAGTCTGGAGGGAGTTTGACATGACAGACGACACTACAAGTCTTTGGCTGAGCATGCCACACACAAGACTCCTTTACTTTTCCATCCAATCAAAGATGCTTTCCAAATTCTTATTTCTGAACTTCAGTGACAAAGGTTTATCTACTACTACAATGATTCAGTACTGAACACTTGAGAACAAGTACCATTTTCAATAGCACTCCAAATTAAAGAGGTAAAGGGTACGTTATTAGCTGATAGGAGAACCAGAAAAAAGAGGAGAGCTAGTTACAAGTCCATAATGCAGAGAAGCTATAGCATTACTTCTAAGAAAAGCTGTGAACTAAAGAAGATTGAAAGGGAAGCTAGGGAATGAGCTCGATATCTTTCTGGAATTACTGTGGTGCTGCCAACCAGTGCATTGAAAAAACATCACCAGGTGATTCAGAGAATTAAGTCTGGAAGTACAGTACTTTACACTGTAAACTAAACATAATGGGATGCCTGGATACCCATTTGCCCCAACAATTACCTTGTTGTGAGATTCTGCATCACGCATCCTGTTATTCAGTTTCTGTCGAGCTGAATGTCCTTTGAAAGCTGCCTGAAGCATAACAACTGCCTAGCATGGAAAGAAAGAAATAGATGTTAGCTCCTTTGAAAGACGGCAGTTATACATTAAAACAAGAGTCCAGAGGGAAGAGGCACATTTTCCCTGTGCAATGCAAACTCTTTGATGTCTTGACATTTTCTTATGTTCAAGGGATACACACATGTACCCATTACTTCACAGGTACTCTGCTGCAATCCAGAGAATCCCCAGCCTGTGACAACCCATAGACATACACCTCCATGGTTTAAATTCAGTCTGGGAGGTGTTCATGATTGATCCTATCAAATGCAGTTAAGTTCTAGCTGCCAAAACTAGCCTATATTTCACAATTAGAGCAACATGCTCCCATTCCCATATTAGATTCTGGCTACCCAGCAGGCTCTGTGATGCTCTGGTACAATAAGAAATCAAGCCAAGTCTGGCAGACCATTGTGGTGATTACACTAAACAGAAGTCTCTCCTCTCTACTTGGAGATTCTGTGGGATTCTAATCAACAAAAAGCATCTAGATGTAACCATGTGTTTGCAGGACATAGTTAGAATTTGTTCTAATTTCTGAAAGTCGGATTTTTAATGTTCTGGAAGAAACAAGTGTAAGATGCTACTTTGTGCTATTTGAAAAAAAACAGTTTAATCAAACCTTTGCGCAAAACATTTATCAAAAAGTGACTTTGTTTGACAAACTTGTCGATTTCTTCATAATACTCAGAGACATTTCTCCTTAGCAAAGGCTTCAAATCTTTCTGAAAACTTGTCAGTGAAAATGAAAGCATTATTAGAATCACTGAATTTAGAAAAACTTTCTTGGTGTTAGATTTTGTTCAAAATTTTCCAAAGTGTTCATCTTGCAGAAGGTACCAAGCACAGAAAATTTGAGACCAAATGGGGAACACTTTGACAAGATATATCAAACAAAACCAGGATGTCAGAAGGAAGATCGTGAGCCAGTCTGAAGAACAAACATGATCTTGGTACAACAGTTCATATTAGAATAAAACTTTTTTAAAAATAAAAAGGTTATTCGTTTGTGCTTTGATACAAATTAAATCTGTTTTACTGTTTTGTTGGGTGTCATAAACACACTTACCTCATCCAGACCAATTTGTTCTTTCTGAAATGAAAAACGTCTAAGTTAATGCCACAAATATATACAAGTTTTAGCTAACAAAGATCTTCCAGATTTTCCCCAATAATTGACACACAGAAAACACCTGTCCCGCCTCCCCCTGAAAACTTGAACAACAAACTTCAGGGAAATTTTTTTTTTTTCTTCTTTGAAAGATGTCTTTAGTTTCCCAAGAAGCAATTACAAGACCCACCTCACATCATATGTCATATAGGTGGAAAAAGCAGCATTATGTTATTTGCTCATAGAACAAAATTGAAGGTTAATCCTTTTTCTCTAGATTATTTTGTCCTAGTTGAATGTAACTCAATTCAAGAAACATCCTGTATTTAGAGGATTTCAGCAAGGGGAATTTAACTTCTCAGTTATACTCCAAGGAGGCAACAGCAGCAATGCCGCTTCAAGCACTGCTGCACTTCTTTCGTTTCCCTGCTCACCCAGACTCCTCCATTCAGGAACTGGCTATCACAACAGAAATGGTTGATCAGAAATGGTTTGTGTGTTATCAACAGACTGAGAACAAATGTCAGGATACCTATTTTGCAATTCTTCTCCAGGAAAGACTAGTACTAACTGGGGAGCTCTCTAATGTCTCATCCTGGCAACTGTGGCCCCATAATCATCTGTTTAAGCTTACTGATGAGCTGGCCATCATATGACACCAACAAGACAGAGAACTTGTGTAAATTGGCATAACTCTACTCTTCTGTCTTAAAGAAATTAATTAGAGGAAAAGAAAGACACCAAGAACACAACAAGATTTTGTTCCAGTTACTTTTTCTCAGGTGTGGTTGCATATTCCACTTCTCACCATCTGATCCTTTTGATCTTTTGATCCCTAATTATCCCATACTAATTGTCGTAACTTTTGTTAGTGAGGTAACCGCAAGTTTATAGGACTAATTTAATTTGTTGGTGTAAAATTTTAAGTAGAGGAACAAGAGATTTTATAGACTCTGAAAAAACCCTCTTGATTCTGTGAAAAGGATTTATTTATAACCTAAAAACGCTGAGTTACAGGCTTAAGTTTAGCAAATGGATCATGTTATATTAAAAACGACAACCTACTATTAAAATGAAAAATTGGTAGGAACTTGGTGATAATTACAAATAATGGGAACATTTCAATAAATGGATGGTTACTGGCCAAGAATATATATAGTCCGGAGATGAAAAAAAAGGATCTGTTTATTGGCTGTATTTAAAGAGTCAAGTTATTTGGTATTCAAAACGTCATCTAGCATCCATCAGCCTATAACACACAAAAAAGAATCTAAAGCATTGCTCATATATCAAAAACCAGCACCCTCTTAAGCTAGTGGACATTTTTGTTCATATTTTTCATATTTTTCACTACCTGTATTTCAGCATCTGTTTATTTTTTAAGTACAAATGATCAAAATCCCCAATAGTTTTCAGTAAAATGAGATTAACATGACCACACTGCATCTGAAAGTATGTCTGTCAGTGCCCATTCATGTCTCCTGGCCAGTTACAGCAACATTTGGCAGGGGGATGGAAGATTGCAAAGATATGAAGTTCAGTCATATTTCACAGAAAAACCCCAACTAATTACAGAGCCTCGTTTAAGACTGTCCAGGATTAACAGATGCACAAATATATTTATTAGATATTGGAAAATCCAGAAAGAAGAGGTTATGAATATCTCAACTCTAGAAAAAACTCAATTCAAAGGAGATAAGGGTTTATTTTATTGTACTGACATCTTCCCTAATTCTTACTCAAATATGGTCTTCCATCAGCAGTGGAATTAAAAAAAACCCTCAGTTTTCATGATGATTAATGTTCTATATCCTATAAACCTTCCCATGAAAAAGTACCCTGCTTCCATCCAAACAGAAAGGGTAATGAATATTTTCTGACTGCACAGCCCATGTGCCCTAACTGATCACCTGACAAGCATAAAAATAATTGAAAAGGGTTTTTTGTCTTTTGCCAGCCTGCCAGTGAGCACACTTATCTGTGTGTCTATTCTTTATCTAACTATCAACTCCCACAAGACCTCCCTCCACAAAATTGGACTGAAATTAGCTAATGGGTTCACATTAGCTAATGTTATAAGAAGATAGAAGCAAAACCACAAATGTCTATTTTTTTTTTTTCAAAGTAGGGCAAAAAACCCAAACACTTAAAAGTGTAAGCTTTTTGCAACATTCCACTGAATAAGAAAAGAGTGACGGTGAGGCAGATAATCACTAAGAGAACAGCTCCATAAAAACACCAAGTTACAGTGGTAATTATTGAAACAACTTATCAACAAATGCTGGATTTTAACCATCATTCAGAATCTCTACGACAAGTTTTAATGCCTCTCTGAAAAGACACAGCTAGCAGCTATTTAGACTATCAGCTCAATTTGCGATATATTAGATGCAAGGGGGAAAAAAAAAACAACTCAACCCACAAACAAAAACATGCATCTGTACCTTAGTAAGATTTTCCATTTTATTTTCTGCCATTTGTCTCTTTTCGTCCTCCAATTTTGACATCAGTTTCCCTACTTTCTGTGTCAGGTTCCGGATTTCCTCACTATGGTTGGAAAAGCAAAGATATTTATAGCTAGAAATTTTCTGTTCTTCCCACTTTGAAAATACTGAACCTGTTTCATAAGATTTGGTTGCTTTGGCGTTTTTTTTAAGGTCAAAGTGGGAAACTTCTTAGGATAACATGATACATATTCTCATAGTAACAGATATGTAACATCAATTCTGAAGTTGTGATAGCACAGCCGTATGTTAAAATTAAAAAGCCCCAAGGTTACAATGGTATCCTTCATACTATCAATAATACATCTAGATCTGCTAGAGTTTCATATTTGTCAAAGTCCTTTCTTACAAAGCAATAATGAAAACACTTTTTTTTTGCCACTCTTACACAGGATTATTATCAATAGTTACATAGAATACATGAAGTAAATGGAATGACGTATTAGCAATGGTTTAGAAGCACAGGCTAAGGTAAGGAAAGAATACCACAGTTTTTTTCTTGGAAAGAGAAAAAAATGCCTCTGAACCCAACATGGCAAGCTTTCTTTTTCCATTTATCTTATTCATTTTTCTATGATTTAATTCTTATTTTTACTACACGTCTTAGTCTTCCACTTCCTCTAAAACCAATCTATAGAATTTTTCCCCTAGTAACTTCCTCCCTCCCTCCAAAACAGTTCTGCTTAAATGAATTCCCAGCTTCCTGCAGTTCAGATGAACTCCTGTGGATTTTGAACCACTTCAACAGATTATTTTTTTTTTTTGGTTCTGAAAGGATCTACTAATACAAAATGTGATACCTTAAAGTCTGCACTTCTGTACTCTTTTCTTCCACCTTATTCTGCCACTTCTGCAGCTCCAGCTCCACTTCAGTCTTAGTCTGCACTAACCGCTTGACATCTAATCTACAAAGGTATAAGGAAATCTAAGCAATACTTAAACAAAAAATAACTACTTTGTTGAAGTATGAATGTCTTCAGCTTCTAAACAAAACAGGGTTTCTCAAATTTGTAAAGTAACTAAATGTTTAAATTTTCTTTTAAATAAAACAAAATGCAAGCATACATTGTTCAGAAGCAAAAGGTCTCTTCACATGCTCTCACTATACATTTTTGCTCAGAGGCGAGTTGACACAGGAGGCAGTATCTTATCAACAGTACATAGTTGTGTGCACATCTCTGCTCATGATCAGACCAACCTGCCTGCCCTTATGCACTGACACATCAAACAAGTCCAAGCAATACAAATTGCAAGTTAGTTGCTTGCTGAGGAGGAAAAAAAAAAAAAGGAAAAAAAAGATCACAGTGCATCATACGGCAGAAGGCAGGCTTAACTGGAGAAAGTGGTAGATGAGGACAAAACACGTTGAAAAAACAAGACAAATTCTTACTGCAAAATACTTGCAAGAAGTTCTGTGTAAAATGACATATAACCCTTCAAAGGCTTTTCGGTGTGGTTGGCAAAAAATATGCCTTGAAAAATGTGCTAGAAACAAGCAGAAATTCGCATTTTCCATCTTCTCACTGACTTTTTTTTCTGCAACGTGATTTTAAAATGCTAGTAGGACTAGAAGAAGCTTTTGAAATAAAAGCTGAAGGGATTCTCAAAATTCATTTTCTTGATGAAAATGTGAAGGACTTATTACCTTGTTTCATAACATGATAGGAAATAATTAAATAATTCACATCTACAAAAGAACAACATCTCAGACAAGAGTCGCACTTACTCTTTATTGAGTAGGAGGTTTTGAAGTGCCTTCTCATCACTCTTCATTTTCTTCATTAGGCCTTGGAGGCGACGACATACCTCAACATGGTCAACCTGTTGAGAAGCTGGATGATCCAGGTCTACAGAAGGTGAAGATGATACAGCAAGTACTTGTGATGACTCACTATCTGCTGATGACACTCTGATGTTCTGCATGGCACACACTTTCTAAACAGGATAAATTTACACAAAAAATACAAAAGAAAAAAGAAGAAAATTAAATTTAGCATAAATGATTTTATTTAGGCCACGAGAAAAGACCAAATGGAAGTTAGTTCTAAAATGTGCATCTATATGTAACAAGTATGAGAAAAGAAGAAAGGGAGGAAGGGCACATGGTACAGACATCAGTTTACATGTATGAGCCAGAATGCACAAGGCTGATACATTGAAGGACTACATGCATAAGCACAAGCCAGTGGTGCTGCATTTTCTGCCTGAAGACAGGTAAGATGGCCACATGATCACGATCACTTACTTTTTCTAGATCCAAAATCCGCTTCACCAGCCTCTGACTGCTCCATTCACTATAATCTAAACACAATAACAAAGCTTTAAATATGAAACTATATCAGTGAGTCAACATTGGTTTTGCTTTTTGGAAGTTCTGTCCATATAGAAAGATCACCTAAAGACCTCTGAACCCCAACTTTAGCTATGCAGCAATGAAAAAATGAGAATGGTCTTAAAATATCTGACTTCTACACCAATTAGCTCAGAAATCAATAGAAACCGTTCACATTCATCAGATTTAACAACTGAAAAACAGTTTTCCAGTGAAACATTAAATCTTCAAGTCATTCCAGACCAGAATTCTCAGGAAACCCAGGTCTGACTGGAGCAGCATATCCAGAAATCAGAGAAAGACTCCTGTAAGAAATTTCTCATTCCAATCTTTGCCCCTCATGAATTTTCACCTTTGTAATAACTCCGTTATTTCTGCCATTATAGCGTCCTGCTCTCAAACACATCTTTCAAATGTACCTAAATCCCTTACCCCATGTTCGCCAACTTTTCAGCACATACTTTTAGTTTTATTGGAAGGAGGAGAACCGCTCAGTAGATTATCTAGATCTTCTTTCAACATCCGATTCTCATTCTGCAATTCCTTGACGTTCCAGGATAATCTCAGGACAGCAGCATTCAGTGCTTTTAGTTGTTTTTGAGTATCTCTGCCCTCTGTACTGGGAAATGGGGTCAAAACCAGAAAGTTAACTTAAAAGCAGAGAGCAAAGAAGTAGCACTAAAAAGAGTGCAACAGCCTCACTATTCAAGTCAGCTGGCTAAGTCAGCTGTCTCAGCTCCCCCTCAACAGCATTTCTCAACATTTTTTTTACTTGAGGAGTTACCTATTCTTTTAGGAAAAAACATGCAAAGACCATCCTGCTCAACACTTTCACAATTGTTTTAATTTGTATCAAAGAAAGAAGATACTTTCAAACTTCGAAAGTTTGTTTATTACTTTTACTTCCTCCTGCACTCTGTTTCATTAACGCATAAAAAAGGGTGCTTGTATGAGTTTTACTTATTTGGTTTTCTATTTGTTTTTATAACCAACCTTATAATGCTTTACTGGCATTCTACGGACCACTGATTTACAAACACTTATCTTCAACCAGTTGGGAGACTCCTCCAAAAAAACCTGTTCAGCATGGAACGCTAACCTGTGTGCTCTGAATTGCTTTCTTTCACTTAAACAGATTGAGATGGGGGGGCGGGGAAGTGGGCTATACATAGATCTAATTAACTCTCAAATCCAACACAGAAGTGTATTTTCAGAAAACCATGAATGGTGCGCTAATGCAAAAGAAACTATTCCTGTGAAAAGTAAACTCAAGGGAAATTTCTTTCTTCATTTAAGATACATTTAAATCAATGAAAGATTTGAAACAGATTTGAAGAGTACAGCTAACATCGATGTGATGGGAATAAAAGGCATCGGAAAAGGGAAAGTCTGCTATGTGTTAAAACTGTTTTAAATACATTACAGTAATTTTGCCCTTTTAATTTTTCTAATAAAAGAGGGAAGAAATCTTAGCTTCTAGATGTGCAAAGTTGTAAAGTTTGTTCACAAACCAGTTTTCTAGTGAGATGAAGTACTTGTTTTTAATGCTATGAGAAAATTCTTACAAACTTAATTCTGGAAACAAAGGTCTGAAGTAAATGATGGACCTACTTTTGGACAAATGTCACTGCCAATCACAGAACAGTTCCTGAAGGAATCTTATACCCCATCCACTGAAATAATTACAAGGTAAAGGGGGAGACGGTCTACAATTAGCATATCAGAGTGAAAAGCTGAATCTAATCTACCTTTTGGAAATTAAAAGGAAATGAAGCCATAAAAACAAACAAATAAGGCTGTCCAGATGTCATGGATGACTATTCATACAGCTGTCCCAGGCAGGAGGAAAAAAAAGTAAAAACAAAACACACCACACCACCAAAACCAGCAAGTGACAGAAATTATAGAAGACATAACCGTATCACTGAGTGCCATTATTTTACGCTCATCAAAACTTAAATGAAAGAATTGCAGATCATTTTGAGGACTTGAAAGGTTGTCTAGTTTCTAGCTACAATTGGATACTACAGCTTCACATATAAATGCCACTCACTTCAGCCAGAAATAACGTAGACAAGCATCATGCAAGAAACACTCTCCTACAACTCCTTCTATGTGGCAGAGTCCTGACCTTCAACATTATTTATTATTTCAGTGCTCAGCCTCTCAAGTAGAGACTGACAGTCACGTAATGGAGAGAGACTGTCCTGACCACTGTTTTTTGAAGCTATGAATAAATGAGGACAAGAAAGAGACCTGATGACTCTTTTTCACCTGTAAATAAATTTTGTGTGGTGGCTTACAGCCTCAAGAGGCTAGTCACTGCATGCCTGAGCCAAAAGAGATAATGTTTTTAAAAAAAAATAAATATTGACAAAACAAATTGCAGTTTTCAATCCACAAGAGACAGTGAATTAGGGAAACACAAGTAGTACACACAATGATCCATAAAGAGTTCTCATATGTTTCTATCAATCTAAATAATTACACCCAAAATTGAGACAGTTGCCTGCCTTAACACTAGGAGGGCAAGCATATTTTGAAGTGGTGTGGTAACAAATTTTCCCATCCCACAAGACTCTATTACTGTCTTCTCAGCTCGAATAACACTCACTTGCATAGATGCTTTTAATTTGCTGTCTTACTGGCACTTTGTCTTTTCCCTCTGTGTTTTGATTTTTATTTCCTCTATAGACTGTTTACCCTCACCACCATGAATACACCCGCACACTAGTGACAAGCACTAGTACAAGCTTCTCTAACAGTGTCTCACTAGTGCCACTCATGGATATCTCACAAAAGCTACCCTGACCTGCAGATCTCTCCCTCTGTACCACAGGAAAATAATGTTTACTCCAAAATACCTTCTTTGTAGTATACACCCTAGAGCAAGATGCAGAACTGACTCAAGAGTAAAATGCCAAACATCTAGTGAGTTTGTTTCAATCACCAGTGATGTCAGAATAGGTGTGATTATGGGGGAAGATGGATTTTAGTTAAGAGATAGAAATTTTCAAAGATTTCATGTATTTTTTAAACAGTTCCAGTATTTTTCCACATCCACAAAACGATCTGTCTACAAGAAAAAAACCAACATGACTAAAACATATGCCAAGGCTGTGAAATCCACCAAACGAGTACCAAAAAGCAAATCCAGCAAATTAAATGACAAAATAAACCGTTCCCATGTAGTTCTTTTCCTTCAGTTAAAGTAGTACAAGTGATATATCAAACATATACAGGCAAACATTTGCCTCAAAGGAATTAAACATACTTTTTCCTCATAGTCTCAGATTGTGTCAGGAGTTGGAGACGATGAGCCTGTGAAATATGAAACATAGATTCCATTAAGGAGCTCGCTGTGGAAAATGACATTGCTAATGCAACATATTTGTCTATTAGGTGAAAATTTGTCTATTAGGTGAAAATCAGAACAAGACTCTTTGGGTAGTAGCAGAGGCAACGATGCCACCACTGAAAATCAGGCCACTGTTACATTTGCTTTCATCTAGACACTATACTTACGGATGTACATTAGTGTCTTTATTGCCCCTTTTTGGTTAACACACTCAACTTACTGAAGAAAAAAGGTTTTTCAGTACATATAGTTGGAGTTATGAGAATATCTATGAAAATCTGATTCCAATGACAGGTGCAGCTAGGCTGCAATAAACCTATCTAAAACATTCCATTTATACTTTGACTCAACAACTCAACAACTTCATCTCCTGTATGCACATTGAAGGACCTGTCAGACCTACCTCTTCATAGTAAGTTTCCATAGCTATCCTCATTTCTTCCAAATTAGTGGTCTTCACGTCTGCCTGGAACTTGCTGAAAAATAGAACAACACAAAAAATAATCCCGTCAGACCAGCAAAGTCACTGCAACACCTGTTGGTTTACAGTTTCTGGGTGAGTGGTTTATAATTGCTAATATGTTCTCAGAGTTCATTAAAACGTCTTAAGGAACTGAAGACTACAGATGAAAAATAACATGAATTTCAAATTCCCTTTATTATCTTATGCAATACAAGCCTCTACGCCCCCCAGACTCATACTTAATAGCGTTGTCTTTCTCCTTGCACTGTTGTTCTAGCTTGAGAATCTTCTGCTTTAATCCACTAACCACCTACAGAAAGAACAAATAGCTCATGAGTCCTACAATAACCCATCTCTTCACAGAAGTTCTATTTCTCCATAACCTTGCCCTGTCTTTATCAATTGTACCTAACCAAATATACTTATTCCTACATACTTCAGTACTTAGTAAATCACACGCACGTCTGCTACCCTGTGATGAAGAGAATACTAATGAAATCAGATCCCTAACTTATATCAGTGGCAATATAACCAGCTTAATATTTATACACAATCACCAAATAAAAACAACTCTGCCCATTACTCCCTAAATTCAAAGCAGCAAATAATAGGGAGAATGCTCCCTAGACAGACTTAAGACAAAGAAGACTCCCTAAAATAATGTTAATTCCAGTTCTTTGTTACTGGTTTCTTATGTGACTATAGAAACAACAGTTACATGATTCCCTAATTGTTTATTCTTTCTTTCTTAATTTTATTTTTTTAATCGGTAGTGTTTCAGCTTGGCAAGAGATAAAAAGGAAAAAATGAAAGCAAAAGGTAATGAAAAAACTATTACCCATGCATTATTAGTCGTCTTTTCTGACAAAGCTCGTGCCAGCTCAGAGCCCTGCAAGACAAGACAGATAAAGCAAGTGACCAACCTTGCTACTTAATTCTACTGCTGGCTCTTCCCACAGAATTTTCTAACCTACTTATCTCCACAGCCATTTCACAGTCCAACAACTTAAGTTCTGAAGTCCCTATGTTCATTGTTTTATATTAGCACACTTCTCCCATGATGTAGGTCTGCAACCCGAAAGTGACAGCCACAAGGAATTCAGTGAAATTCAGGTCTTCTAACTATGACCCTAAATGCTTCTCAGCCTCATGGGTCTGACAGTAAGGTTCATCTTTTGGTTCCTGGTTCAGGTCTCAGGACCACACGCATCAGTCACCACACAAAAGTTTAACTTCATTCTACTCTCAGGCAAAATATTCAGAAAGTGGGCCTCTAAAGAGACAGCGTTTTAATTTCACCTTCAGAAATTAAAAGTATCTTTGCTAAATAAAGTTATCTGCACAGCATGGCATGATTTTCCTTTGAACTGAGCTGGACTGGTGAGCTGAGATACACAAAACTGAAATCCCTTCACCTCAACCAACCACCTTCTCATATTCAAGCTCATCATTCCTAGGAACCAACACACTACAAACTCCTGAAATCTAGAGACACAAGGAGAAGACGATCACACCACTCAGCACTCTTTTGCCCCACTTTTATCCCTCCAAGAAATAGTCACCCTGAAAGGATCCAACAGTTGTTCAATCTGCTTATCCTTTCTATTGTTCTCTTCTTCTAGTCGACGGAGTTTAGTTTTCATTTGATCTCCCTCATTTTTCTGAGCTTGTATTGTCTAAAAGAAGGCAGAAAAATTGTAAGCATATTTCAGAAATAGAAACATACTGAGTTTTCACATGGAAACACACTTTGATGTCAGTAACAATCCAATTACAATGGTGAGGATGAAGAAAAAAAAACAAACCAGAGAGACTACCACACTGGAGCAGGGCTGACAGATAAGGAAGATGACAGGGTAAAGATAAGACGAAAAGGTTTAACAGAAAGGCAGCCTTACACAAATGATCAACAGCCAAGATACTTGTCTATAGGTATCCCTAGTGTTCAACATGCCCAGTCCTCATCTTTCATACACTGCACTAAACTCAACCGACAAACTGTTAAAACCCGATTGGTAACAGCCAGGAAAGTGGGGGGGGGGGGATTAAAAAAAAAAAAAAGGTGAGGACAAAGAAACCAAGCTCAATGAACCTTTTCAGCGTCCAGCTAGGGCCATGGCTGGCATTCAGGACTGGGTATACTTCAACGCTTCCACATCCAGTACTCAGAAGTATCTATCACACCATGAGAACAATGAAATTGCCTTAAACAGACACAAGTTTAGTTTAGCCTTATATTACAAATGCAAAAAAAATTTGGTGTATGTCCTGGTTGCAGAAACCAAAGTATTCTGAACCAATAAGGCCTGGACGTCTACAGGTGGTTAAAGTGATGCTATGAATTTCTATGTAAGTATCAGAGAGACTGTACCTTTTTCAGTTTTATAATTTCATCATACATATCTTCTTTTTCTTTGTAGTCAGGAGTTCCAGGAATGTAGCCTATAGGAAAAGGTATGAAAATAAGCAGATCCGAAAGAGGTATTTTTAACTAACTTACAGTTAAAGAAAAATATCTAGCACAGCAAACTGGAAACTAGGCTTTTTTTTTTTTTTAGAAGAAAAATCATCAAGGAAATTAATTTTAGAAATAGAGGTGAAATGGAAATGTTACTGTATAAAACTTCTGCCAGATTTTACAGAAAATTTCTCCTAATTACTTCTCTTCTCTCTGGTGCTACGTTAAAGTATCCATCTCAAGAAAGATGTACACTTCACAGAAGACTGCAGTCTTCTCATCCCAACAAATCAATTATTTACAAAAGATTTCCAAAAGATGTCTCGAATACATTTCTATTTATACCTAACTTGTAAAAGTCGATCATCTTTTAAAGCTGCCAGAAACTGTGTATTACCAGTAACAGTACAGGTCGCTTTAAATGGAAGCGGGATTTTTAAGTTTACAGTTCTCCTTTAAGAAAAGCAGGATAAAAGTTTTAAATTTTGCTCTTCTCATAAAACTCAATTGATTTTAATATTGCAGCCACATGATAAAACTCTTTCTAGAGAAGAAGTAAAAGGAGTCAATTACATAGAATTTCAGGCAAGCAGATGGTTTCTATCAATGGTTCCTAAAGTATGTTTTGCAAAGTCATAATAAATTGTCTACAGCTGGCCCATTGAACTATATTATATTTGCAATGTTTTCAGCTGGAAATGCATGGCAATTTGCAAAAAGTTCTGAAAGCTAATAGCGATTCATTGCTTAAAAAAAATTTTGGAAACCCCTGTCTTATCCAATTTAGAAATCTCAAAAAGTATCTCATGGATCATATTTTGACACATATTTTAATACAGGTTAAACTGAAATGGCTCTTGCTTGACTAAAGCCAAGATCTTAAGCAATGTGTGTTTTTATATGGACAAAAGATCATTAACTTTTATCTACCACGCCATTACATAGTTTACCATTACTAAAAGAACGAGAATGTTTTGGCTTCTTCATTCCTAGAGCTTCCTTCAAATATTCTGGAGTGCTACTAGAAACGTTAGTTCGCATATGCCCCACGTCAACATCTGATTTCAGAGGATGGCTCATTCCTGCCAACAAAAATGGAACAAAAAAGCAAAAATCAGGGATAATTATGAATTAAATTTGTGGATTTATTCTGAGCAAATGCAACACAGAAAGCTCCAGATGCTGTTAATTATTCCCTCTATAAATTCCAACGCTCAAGATCAGATAATTCCAACCACCCAAATATATAATAGTGCGATGACTTCTTATGTAGCCTATAATCAACTACAAATCTATTTCTTAAGAGTTTACATGTTCAGCTGTCCACAACACCAAATTTTATCCATATATGCAGATGAAGTTTCTATACTAGTACCTTGTTTCAGTGATCCCAGCCATATCTGCCTTGGGTTTTTTACAGCTGCACTCTCGCGGCGTGCACTGGCTGTTCGTGGCAGAGGTCGCCAAACTGCAGTTTTTCTAGGATATAGTTGTGTGCTAGACTTGTATGGAGACTCTATAACAAAAGAAAATATCTCAGCATTGCCTTAAAAAGCTCAAGGTCACAAAAATTCTGTCTTGTGCTTCAAGGTTCTCAAACACAGTCCTATTACTTATAGAAATAGAATTTAACAGCATACTACATACTGGCTTATATGGAACAATTGGACATTCACCAAAAAAAAAAAAATCACGATAAAGAAAAAAATCCAATTCCAAAAAATGAAGAGGCTTAGAAAGAGGCATAGTGACAGTAATATGACTCAATGCATGTTGAAATATTTACATGTACAGTTTGGATAGGCAGTCTTAAGACACTTGCATGTCTAAATTCTTACATTAAATTGACCTTTCAATAAATGTATACACAAATGTTCTATCAATGAGAAAAAAATGTATGGCTAAACAGACAGAAGTAACTCAATAGCTACTAACCCACTACCAATTTTCTTGCAGTAATTGAAGAGCAGAATTGGTCTGATGTAAGTGCTGAGGAGCCCCTCACATTACTACTGCAGGTATGGTGGTCACGTTCAAATACTGACACTAATTCCACTTCAAATTATTAGTATAGATGTGCACTATATGGGCTAACTAGTTAGTCTTCAAATTACCAAGAAAAGTACATACAGTAAGAAGCAAAGTCACAAACATCATAGTTGAAATTAAACAGCAATTTTAAATTCCATCATTTAGGCAAGCAAAGGGATTTCAGGAAAAGAAAAAAGATAGATATACATCTCCCAGAAGAGCATGCCTCTTCCTCAACCTAAAGCAAAACTAAAAAGTACAACATTATTTAATTTATTAGAAACAAAACAAAGTAACAACAATCAGCAACAGTTTGAGGTAAGGTCTTCATTGAAGCACTCACTGGAAGTATAAAAAGGAAGGTAAATGGAAAAGTTTAGTAAGAAACATAAACCCCAGAAAAAAAAAAAAGGACAAAACCCAACATTAAAACCGCAGATCTAATAATAACATTGTGTTTGGTCATGTAAAAGAAAACAAAACAACCAACAAACAAATGAAACAAAGAACTGCTTAATCTACAAACATAGACATCTACTCGATAGTAGGCAGCTCCAGTAATTCTAGATTCTTTCTACACAGCAAGCATCAGCATTTCTCCAAAACGAAATTCAGAATGTTTGCCTTTAGAAGGGATAACATGAGAAGAAAGTAGTTTATGCCAGAGAATCAAGAATTACAATTAACCCATACACTTCAATATTTAGCCTTATAAAAGCCCAGCTTCACAGGTTACAGAACAAATCAGATAGGTGTGCTCTGCACATGCCAGTGAACAATTCTAAAGAGAAGAATACGATGTTGTTTCAAGTAAATCTTCCAGTTCCTTTCTCCCACAAATCTATCTTGTTCTGCAATAACAGAAACAGAAGAAAAAATTTTGCAACACTTACTTGGTGACTTTGGAGGCTTGTGAAAAATTTTCTTCTCTAACTTCTGGAAGAGAAAAAGAATTTTTAATATATTTTAAATATTCCACTCTTCAAAGATTTCAGCATATAGTCTCAAAATCAGCTTTAATCCCCATTTTGTATGAAGATCATCTGTTCTAATAACACAAAATCTTCTGTGTAGAAAAGAAAAATAGTATCATTAAGTATATGAAGATTTGGCCACAGCAAAGGTCACCAGAATTAAGGTGATGCCTACTGAAGTTTTATGCTACAGATAAAAAGTTGCCTATTCAGGCTCAGAACAGTAAGACCTTCCCCATCAGTATTAAATACGAGTAGCAGCAAATTCAAGATGATTACAGAGTAGATGCTGATCTGTAAAACCATTTAGCTAAAGGAAAGACTCATTCAATTCCATTAAAACTCTGTAAAAGGATTACTTAGGCCTGTAACTTGATAGAACAGCAAACTGAAGCCAAACATCATTTGCAGACCCCAGCACCGAGAATTTAGAAGCCAGCATTACATCTGGAATTAGGAGAGGTTTTTGAATCAAACTACATTGCAATAACATTGTTAGCTCTCCTCTCTGAAGGCCATCTTTTCAACCAAGATGCATCATGTGGATGTACTGTGTGCAAGAACATGCTGAGAGGCCTTTTAAGGCATTCATCCACAGCAGGCCTTTAATAAAACTCACCATTTCTGTATCACAGGTTATCACAGACAGGCTGTCATCTCCCTGGGAAATAGAGACATTATCAATGACATTTGCTACTAAATAATTGGTTATAACACACATCCAGAAAATTTTTTATCCTTTTACTATCATAACAAAGTTTGACTGCAATAAATGCACATGGTAAATGTGTCTCCACTGTTGCAAAAACCAGCATCGTTTGCTCTAACCCAAATGTGCTGTGCGATACAGTGCAAGTCACTTCAGACTTGACCCACAGAGACTTATGCGCTTCAGTGCACAGCATCACAACAGCTGAACCTTCAGGTGCCTTGTGCAGGCTAACACCGTGCCACCGGCCAGCAAAGGAGATACAGGCAGAGCCCAGAACCCCGCGGGCTGGGGAGGGACCGAAGCCATCCTCCTCCTCGCCACCGCCCCATCGGCCTGGCGAGCCTGAGGAGGCTCCAGGCTTCGCCCCGGCCCTGCGGGCAGGCGGAAGCGTTTCCCGGGCCGGGCCCGGGCTAAGGCAGGCCCGTGTCTGGGGCTTCGTCCTCCTCCCCGCCGCCCGCTCCTTACCAGCTCCCCCTCCGCAGCCGCCTC